TCTGTGCAGGGGCTCATTAATTTCCCCTTGTTTTCCTTCACACTAATCAGACAGGTAATTACAGTTTCACAGAGAGGCCTCCTCTCTCCCATCACACCATGAACGCACTCCAGGGTGAAGCTCTCCTTACCATCAATGTTTTGCGAAATTACAGCTTCTCTCCGAGCCCTTCCTGCCAGATTTATGCCAAACCAGTTTGGAGAGCCTAATAAGAGATGATTTCAAAGGCAGTACTAACCTTTTCATGGGCTTGGGCGAGGCCTCCCGCTCCAGGTTGGAGGACGCGTGCTTCACGTGCATGGCATTGTAGGAGGTGTGGGTATACTCATTTTCATCGCTGTAGTCGGGACCAAGTAACGTTCGAGCCCATGTCCCCATGTCGTATGGAGGAAGAGTCCCCCCGAATTCAGAGGGCAGGCATTCAGGGTGTATTAGCTGGTGAAGGCTGTTCAGGTTGTTACCATGAAGAAAGATCTTTAAGAAGAAAAAGAAAGTTCAAAGTCATGATCAATTCCTTACTTCATTAAGTACAATAATAACAGCACTAATGAGGTGGGGAGCGTCACTAGTTGATGCTGCAGTTTCAGGTGGGAATTTCTGGCTGGGGTGAGTGGGAGGGGAGGGATTAGCTTTGGGGTGTGCAGCTGTGGAATTACGCTGTCACTGTAAATGCTTCTGAAAACCCCGATTCGCTTATTTTCGGCACGTGACACTTTCACTTTCTAAAGTACCAGATCAGGGAAAGCACACGTCAGGAATAATACCTGATTATTGCTACTAGAAGAAGATATAGGCTTGTATGAAGAGCAGTGAGAAGAAAAGGGAGATAGTGGAGCTTACTGAAAGAAGATGCAAAGGTCCTCAATGTCTGAGAGGGTAACCCAGCCCTGCACCCTGGGACTGATAAGTCTGTGTGGCCACTTTGCCCTGCTTCAGCGATTCTCTAATCCCTCTTTGCTTTCAGGCTGGTATCACCCTTGTCCTGCCTGGTCAGAGACACCCACCCAGGGTGGCTTCTGGGGCCTTCTGAGAGATGATCCAGCGGTCATTCGATGGACTGCAGAGGACAACTGGCCAAGATGACTGCAAGACCACAGTTCACATGGGTTTCACTTCTGCAGTGTGAGCAAACAGCCTTTGGGCATGGGCATTTTTTTGTGGAAACAAGTGAGTTACTACCGTGTGAAAACAGTCAACTTGCTGAAGGAACGAAATAGGAAATTTTACTCTCACAAAAACGGTTGAGCTGAAGTTTCCTTCACTGCAGGTGACCTCAGCCAGGCCTGATAATCCCTCCACATTGCTAATTCTCTCTATCCCTCAGCATGTCCCATTAAAATGTATCTACACTTTGTTAGTGATAACAGCTTTCTGGTCCCTGGCTGAGTTATTGATTCAATCCAGACCATTGCAAACTCTAAGCTTTAATAACCACAGCAATACTCTGAGGCCACATGAAAAATGCAGAGAGGAAAAGAAGGAAGCAGGCAGCTACTCAGCTACTCCCACCCTGCAGTTTCCTATCTCCCTCCCCGGCCCCCTCTAATTACCCTTTTCCTTGTCTTGTCTTTGAGGAACGGTTTGATTAGCGTGTACAGGGCATGGATGTACCAGGGCTGGTTGACAAAATGGACTCCTCCAAAACGGGCAGGAAAGCTGTCCTACAGAAAGAAAGAAAAGGAAGGCAGTTAATAGATGCAGTGCTTTAGTCAGACAGTCAATAGGATGAAAGTCAGAGGACGGAGTCTGCCTCTTCCCATCTGCAAATGAGCACTGGGCTTGCTGGGAGGGGGCAGAAGGGAGGTGGAAAAAAGAAAAACGCCTAGAAACGTTTGCATCAGTTTCCTCTGTTAGCAGATGCAGTCCCTTCTCCCCTCCACGCACTAACGCGTCAATTACTGATGATTTAAAGTAGGCTCTCCAGCCACTTTGCCTGAACATTTTTTAACTCCATCAGGGTGTCTGACTTGGCTGGGATGGGAAGAGAGAGGGGCCCGATGAGCACCGCTCCCTCCAGGGGAAGCTTTCCCATTCCTCATTGTGCGGTGCAAGGCGAGCCCCCGGTTCCCACGCACAGCGCTGCGCACAGCTCACCTTTTCACCCTCCGGCCTCCCGGCTTCCCCCTTGCTAAAATCATCATTACAATGGCTGACCTTTCGGGGTGAGCGAGCAGCATATTACGGGGAGGAGGATGGGTGGGAAATGCTGATAAGTGAAGGTGTAGGGAGAGCGCACCATGACGGCACCATGGAAACTGCCGGAGCCCGGCGCTCGCTGCCAGGCTCTGCACAAACACCCTCGGCATTAGCATGCAGGTAGCGTCCCGCCGGGGAGGTGTTTGCAATAGCGTCCTACTCCGCTCAGAGCACGGCGTGCTTAATAGAAGAGGAGGTTGCTGGCGTGGCTTTAAAGGTTATTGTATATCGTGACGGGTATTTTGTACCTACACCCTCATCTAACAAATGTCAGTCAGTCAGGGAAGAGCCTCGGATTTTTTCGCGTCACATAAATAGTGGGAAGACCGCTGCTCCTGCGTGCAAATACGCTTCCAGTGAGAGGAGAGGTGCCTGTCTCTCCCCCATGAAAGGGGATCCTGATGAAGCCGTCCTCATCCTGCCTGTGCTCCTAACCCCTCCAGCTCGGCATATAAAGACAGAGCATAATCAGGTCTCTTCCTTCAGGGCTTTGGCTTCCAGGCTCAGGCAGGTTCATTCCCCCCACAATTAACGCCGGGCATCCTGGGGTTTTCTCTCACCTTCCTCCGGAGCATCAGAGATTGAGCACAGCTGATGAGGATATGGGGTGGATTTGTGAGATGATATGGAAAATCCCCCTATACACCTGCTAGGTATAGCTTCTGCGCCACTTCAAGGTCTAATTGTTTCTCAGATTGAGCACTATGTAGGCATCCCACCACCTCTCACCGTCCAGGGCAGATTGGCAGGACTCTCTATGCTCTTAAGCACTGGCCACGTATTGCCCTGGCAGTCATCTTAAACTGTACTTTGGTAACATTTGTGAGCAACCACAAGCATTAAGTGGTGCCTTTTTCATTTGCTATACAGTAAGTATAAGCTGCTTATACCTCAGACACATCAATTTACCTGAAATCATTACAAATCTCAATATTGGATGCTCCGTGTAAGACTAGTGGATAGTCAGGCCAGCACGCAGGAGGCCAAGCAGTGTAACATAACAGGTAATCCCATTTTAAATCCCAGAAAACAGCGAGTTGATCTTTTTAAGGATGGCACACGCTCTCTTGAGGTGGTCCTTCATGATAAAGATGATTGTATTTCCATCGCTGCTGGAATATTCATTAGAGTTCAGGCACACAGCTCTGACTGATATGAACTTCTGCAGTGCTGCAGGTTGCGGTGACTTAAACGGGGCTGTGCTGAGAAACAGCTGCAGAGAATCTGACCCCACCTAGAAAAAACACTGACCCACAAAAGAAGTGTGAAGTGAAGCCCAAAGTGATTTTCTACCATACCTAAAACTGGGTTTTAGAGCAGACCAGAACCAAAAATGCTCATCTCATGCAAAATTCACATATTCAGTTGCTTTCCTCCCACATAGGAAGAAAAATTTGAAGATTTTAAATTTTTCACAGACTATCTAAAAACCCCAAAATTATTAAGAAATATTAGAATGTTCCATTTTTTATTTTTTTTTTAATTCTGTATTTGTCAAGGCAGCTGCCATCCCAAAAGCTGTATCGCTAAGACAGAATTTCCAGACTCCTTTGCTCTTTGGGGCTAAGCTGTCACAGCCGTCCCAGGTTGTACCATAGCAGCACAGGTCAGCGTAGAAGATACAGTCTGAGTTTGAAGCAAAGGGCAGCAAAGAAATGGGAGACGGGAGGCAGGGGAACAACTTTAAGACACATAGATTTATAGGGACCCGAAGAATAAAAATTGTTTTGTCTTCTCACAATCTTCAGTAAGAAATGTCAGTCAGACTTCATTTCCAAGGTGGAACGTGGGGTTTTTTTAGAACATGTTGACCAGCCTTAATGCTACTACATTATCTGGAAAGGGCTGCATGCTGAAAATTATAGGAACGAGCCAGAGGTTTAAACTGGAAAAGGTTGACTAAGGAGAAGGGTGTACTTTCCTATATCGAACATGAATTTTATGTCCAGCCAACATAGGGTGTTGAGTCCATAAACTAGATTCTGTCTGGTACATCAGTAGATTAAGTGTTACAGGAAAGCCCCTCAAATAACAGTTTTATTTAATGGCAATTGCTTTCTTTTCATTCTGAAGATACACCTGAGAATGCACAGAGACCCTTGAAGCAGTGTGATGGCCAAGATAAAAAACAACAGCCAAAGAACATTTATTTGTGTGTAACTTTCTGCTAATTTTTGTTCCTTACTCTATTAAGCACAATAAGCTCAATTTGACCTTCATCCCTCAGTCCACCTGCATTTGTAAGGCTGTCAATTAGAACAAGGACAAAGACATATTTTTTTTTTACTTTTTTTTAAACCGAAGAAATTTGATATGGGAATCATCCAGACACTGTTTGGAACCGCAACATACCAATTTTGCAGAAGTCCCTAATTAGAGCAGAGCTGTCTTGGAAAGAAAAGCTCCCGTCTGGAGGTCTGCCTTGCGCAGTTCCAGGAAGATGTATGAGACCTTTCCCACACCCCACTTAGTGTCTCTGCTGCTCTCCCTGGGGCAAGGTGAAAGCAGCTGAAATTGATTTTCTGCTGGAGAGCTTTTGCTTTTAGGAATTCTCTTTTGATTTCTCGCGTCTTGTGATTCCTTGGGAAGGTGTATTTTATAATGAGGTACATTTTTTTGGAGCCTGCTGTGAAAAGGACCCTGGGATCATGGAGCCTTTTCTTAACCTGATTCCTTGTTAAAAATACCCAATCCTGAGTTTATGCCATTTTATTCCAACAGCATAAATAAAAGATAGCACTCAGCAATTAGTCTAATTATTTGTGGGCACTACTGTCATTTTATCTGAAAACCAGGCTAGACAGATTAATATGTTGCTCAGAGATGAAACTGCAGCATGAATAAATACATCCAACCAGGTGCTAATCTAGCTAACTTGCTACTCAGCAATAGCAGGGAAGAAACAGTGAGAAGACTCCAGATGATACCTGCTTGGGCAGCTAGCTCACTCCAGAGTCAGACCAGGTCTTCTTCGTTGGGACCTGAAGTGAACTAAACCAAGGAATATATCTAACCATACTGCAGTGGCACCTTTCCCAAACTGTAAAGGTAAAACCTAGCAAGACAAAGTTGTCCAAACACAGGGTTTTAGTTGTTCCTGGTGATTGAATGAAACTGGTGCCAAAGATGGGACTTTTCTTTTGCCTGATTTGTCTGTTTTTAATTTTTTTTTCTTTACGGTTTTCAGTTATTCCCCTCTGCATCATCTCCAAAGAAAAGAAAGCAACAAACACTTGAGTGCCACAGTGGACCTGCCACAGACACCCCAAAATCCATACAGGCCTCAATACATCTCTCATTTCAGATTGGAGAAGTGTCTCCAAGCTTGCAGATCAGAGCAAAAAGTTACGGAGATCATTGTCTCCCTTCTCCGCTGAGACCTCCTGTGCAGGGAAATTTCTGAATTGAAATGAGTCTGTGACTAAAAACCCTCGGTACATAATGTTCCACTAAATAGCTTGGGAGCGATAGCTATGAGGTGAATGAGAGACAATTTTTCACTATTTCTGCCTGTTCTTGCCTTCATGACATCTATTTCTTTTGGCATGAGTATGCATCAGAAACCTTTTACTATTTTATTGTTCTGAACTGCTTGAAAGCTAAAAATTAAGATGATCTTTCAGCATCTCCACACACTAAAGTGTGGCAGAAAAGCAAAACAATCTTTGGAATACCAAAATCAGGAATAAATCAAACCCGATGCTCAGAGCCAAACTTTTCGAACTGCATGAATTGGCTTCATAAACCAATGACCTGAGCTCAAAAACTAAATTACAGCATATTTCTAGGTTACAGGACATCTGAATTTTGTGACACAAATGTTTTAAAAATGCTTTCATAACTTCAACCCTTTGCAATCAGAAAAGCAAACACCTCTCTTGCCATCCAAAGGCACTTTAATCTCGACCATACTTGCCAGTTTGCTGCAAATCAAAACATAATCCCCTTTGAAATAAAATAATTTCCCTCAGATTCAGGAAGATTTAAATCATAAACAATACTGTTTAAACCTAAAGGTCATTTAAAATGAGGATAAAACCAGCATCTTCATGCCTGTGCACTTACATAATCAGTCCCCACAGTGGATTAAGACTCCCACAGACCATATTAATAGTTCAGGAAGATTTTATTAATAGTTCGGTGATAGTTTCTCCACAGAGAGTTTCCGTGAGTGTGTGATTTTAATGGATTGGCACGATAAGGGAAGGAGGCTTTCCGCTCTCCAGCTCTGGGTCCAAATTCAGCCCCTGAAACAGTGGGCAGTGGTTGAAAGTTGTTGTCCCCCGATTTTACCACTTTGTCAGGTATAAAAAACACGTTCCTGAGGGCATTTGAGTGGATGCCACATAACGCCCTTGGTGCTGACGGACCAGGCTGTCTTATAGTATGTGCTAGGAGAGAAGGGAAAGTGTGTTCCCCCCACCAAAACAGCTTCAGCTTCTGATTTTAATGCAGCTCTGAAGAG